TTGGACATGACCAGCCCATGAATTTGGACATGACTAGTGAGTGATTCGTTCGTTCTATGATTCATTACAGGAAGGGAGGGGTGAGTGAGTCCTGAGTGATTCGCTTACGCTACAATTCAGCGCAGGAAGGGAGGGGGTGAGTAGCTAAAATGTGCTGTTAGCATGTTAGCAGAGCGATGCTACTGTGAACCAAGGAGCTATTGTCTTGATGTGAGCTTCTACTCAGGGTTTTTTCTTCCAGTTCAGAGCAGAAATGTTTTTGTTAAGAAAGTGGCTGTTGTTTTTTTCCCCACGATTTTAATTATAAGCTACATATATTTCTACTAAGGAAATTAGTTTGCTAACAGCAATAGGGATGAGTTAGTGAGTCAATTGGGCTTGTGAATCATGATTCATGAGTCAGTAAAGTGATTCTCGAGTATTGAACGTGAACATGATTCGCGCATCACTATTTTGGACAAGTGTGGATGTTATGTTTGTATCTCCTTTTTGGTAAATGTTTGACTAGACCACCATCATTAAAATTTCACTTTTTATTGTAAACTTATCTCCTGTTTCCTCCACTTTCTGTCCTCTTTACCTCAACAATCTAACATAATTTTGTTCATTAAATTGATGTAGACTCTATTATTTGAAGCTATTGTAAATTTCATCATGTACTAAACTTCTGCAAAATCGAATCATGATTAAATTTATGTTTGCAACAATATAGGTTTGTTGATCCCAAAAACTACCTAACGATAGTGCTATTTAAGTTAGAATGAGACAGGTTATGTATGATACAGGTGCTACAGATAAAATGCTTTCTTGTACTTGTGCAAGCACACAGGTGTGTGTAATCTCGTTTGGAAGAATGAATGGAACACTGATAGGAGGTTTGATTTCACTTACACTAAGTGAGGCATATGCTGTTTTGTGTCACATTTGACATCAACACTAGCGCCCGAGCCTAGCTACTCATGTAGCAATGGGTCTTTCTAGTTCATGAACAAATACACACCCAACATACTTTTATCTTACATAAACAATAAAAGAACCACAGAAGCACAGTAAATGCGTAATGCTAACATCCTTGTTAGCAAGCCAAGTCTGCACTTTGGCAGGTCCAATTGCACAACCATCTTTGCTTCAAGTCTTAACAGACTCTGAAATAGCAGAGCTAAGACTTTGAAAAAACAAAAACCCACAAGAAGGTTCAGCTGAGGTGAGCAGCTGTGCAGCTAAACAGCACATATGACATTGACTAGACCTTGACAATATGCTAGAAGGGGTGAGCCATCACTTCAAATAGTCGAGGTCTGCTATAATTGTTATATATATGAGTAGTTAGATTAGATTAGATCAACTATTAAATTAATAGTTCTTTCCTGCAGACTTACACTACAGTTGCTGCTGTAGTTCTAGTAAGAAAAATCGATGTTTTTTGTAGGCAACTTGGCAGTTGTTATGCATTCAGTCAGTCTACTGATGTAGTTCTTCCAAACCTGTGAACGTTAGCTAGGTGACAAAGCAGAGGCTTCAAGTGGAAACTTTACATGGCAGTGAGTGATCTCACAATGATGATATCCATCTTTTATATACAGTCTATTCTCAAAAAACAAGTAAACATCATTTCAAGACAGCAGCTTTTAAAAGGGCATTACAGATTGACTTCCAGCCTGCTGTAGTCTTCATATATATATATCAGTACCAGTGTTGGTCAAGTTACTTGAAAAAAGTAATCAGTAACTAATTACTGATTACTTCCCAAAAAGTAATCCCGTTACTTTACTGATTACTTATTACTTAGTTACTTTTTTAAAAACACGATTTACAACCCGAAGAGGTGATAAAGTGATAGATCTTTCAGCCCAATTCTACTTTTTCTACATAATCCATCATACAAAATGTAATCAAATGGAAAAGTCTCTTTTTTTTAACTTGTTTTATCATTTTTAATCTTTTAACTTTATGCATCAAGCAAAAATGTAATTATATGCAACATTCTCTGAGTTGAATAAATGAGTTTAACATTTAAACCTATTTTCTGCACATTCCAGCACATAAAATAAAATAATTTTTTGTGTTTACACTCACTCTTTCAAATAGATGCAAGTAAAACACAGCAGAACATAAATAAAGTCAAAGATTCAGCGGTCCTGTTGCTCTATTTTCACCTGTAAAGCAGGACTGCAGTAGGCGGAGGTTTACCCTGGTGCAGGTGTGCAGCGGTCAGTGGAAGGATACGGCAGTGTCTCTGTGAGTTTCCCATTACGTCGTTGCGCTCTTGGTGCTTCCTTGGAAGTTTAGGGGTTTTTTTCGCTGTAAAAAGAAGTTTTCTTCCCACGCACGATGGACGCTAATGTTTTTGTCACTTTTTATGGAATCAAACTCAAAGTAAGGTCAGTACTTCCACGCTTTAAACGCTGCATGCTCATACTCTCTCCCGCACTCGATATGTGATCCATTGTTGATCTGCACACAGCTGTTGTCACTAACGGCGCACTCGCTTACGTCACTGTCGTGAGACATTCTCGCAAAAAATCACGGTTTTAGTAACGCAGTAACGCAGCGTTCCTACGGGAAAGTAACGGTAATCTAATTACCGATTTTGCAATAGTAATCCCTTACTTTACTCGTTACTCGAAAAAAGTAATCAGATTACAGTAACGCGTTACAAGTAACGCGTTACTGCCCATCTCTGATCAGTACTGAGGCTCTTTCTTTGTTTTCTCACATATGGACACACCCCCTAAACCTTCACCCTGCCATCTTCCCTTTAGCTTTAAGTGAGTGCAGTTGTAGTCGTGACCGTTTACCCTCTAAGCACTGAATCTCAGCACATGCGAGTGACTTTATTTTTGATTTCCTCTGTGAGCAGACAAAGGATGAGCCCTTTCATCTCAGATTGGGTTTCAGCAGGCCAAAGCACAGAGTATCAAACCGCCCTCCCCTCCTGTTTTATTCACGTTTTCCCTCTTGACCTCTGGCAGCACACTCTTACACGTCTTTCCCTCTCACCCCAGATTATCAGTCAAACATCAACCAATCAACCTGTGAAATTAATATTTCATGTTCATATTATTAAAGTAACTATTAACATCAACATCATCAGCACAGTTTAAAAGTACAATAAATGCACTTCCTGTGTGCCAAACACACACACAGACACACACTCCTTGGGTCAGCTCCCACTTGGACTCTTGTGACTGTGAACCATTTGGGGTTTACTGAGTCTTATTTCCAGCTCTGGATGAGATCAAAGGGAAGCTATTATGTTCATGTGCTACCTCACTGCCAGATTTTCAGTCACTGGCACACACACGAACGCACACACACGCACACACACGCACACACACACACACACACACAATGGTTAAGCTGGGGAGAGTAATTGTTTTTGGCAGGTGTAGAGTGTATACCTCCAGTAAGTGGCTGCGTATTTACACATTCTGTGCCATTATTCGTTTTCTACACTTTCCGGGTCAGTGCCAGTAAAAGACAAGGAACAGAAGCCTTTTGCTAAATGTTTACACAGAATATATCCCTTAAACTAATTTGAACCACTTCTATTGTCACAGGATATCCCTGTGGAAGAAAACTCTTGTCTCTGGCTACTGTATGTGTCAGACACCAAACAATAATGGATTGCATTTATATAGCGCTTTTCGGGACCCTCAAAGCGCTTTACAATACCACTATTCATTCACTCTCACACACTGGTTAAGTCAAGCTACAGTTGTAGCCACAGCTGCCCTGGGGCAGACTGACAGAGGTGAGGCTGCCATATTGCGCCATCAGCCCCTCTGGCCAATACCAGTAGGCAGTAGGTGAAGTGTCTTGCCCAAGGACACAACGACCGAGACTGTCTGAGCCTGTCCGAGCCGGGGCTCAAACCGGCAACCTTCCGATTACAAGACAAACACCCAACTCTTGAGCCACAATCGCCCCAAAGAACAGTCTTAGTCCTCTGTGACTTTGTCCTCTTCCTCATAATGAAACAGAGACAGACAAGTGCACTAGAGAAATGTAATATAGGTTTTTGAAATTCATGACATCCTTGTGAAAGAAATGAAATAAAAATTGTGCCAAAGTGCATGAAAAACAAACTTTGTGCGAGTGCCAAAGCTCTTGGCCACAATTTTGCACTTCATATGCAGTTAGTCTCTATTAAGGGACTCTAATTTAAACAAAGAAAAACAACAGATAAATGGCAGATTACTTAGACATGATAAAAAGACTGTTTCTACTAAATACAACAAAGCCTTTTCCGGATGCTTCTTCCTAACTTTAACTCGTCAGTTTCACATCTTATGGGAAGTCTCTCAGTTGCCTGGCTTCAATAGGAAATGGTTTATGACAAACTTGGAAATACAAAATTTGTGGTATTTGGTAATGGCTCTTCCACTCCGGGGTGTACCCGGCTCCAGCCTGGCCTGGCTCCAGCTCCATAAACATATCTACAGTTCAGAAAATGTTAAATAACACTATGGTTACACACAGTTTTGGTTTATGGCAATTATATTCATTTTCTTTGATTCTTAAGAAAAAGTTTAAAGTGATGGCAATGAGTAAAGATTAAAATGAAATTAATTTATTAATGAATTAATGATGGATATCAAAAATTGAAGCAGTGCAAGTGTGCACGTACAGTGTTGATATAAAGTCTTATTCTTTCCTTTGACCGAATTATGTCTTTGACAGCACAAAGTTATTAGTTATATTTGTTTTATATGTGAATGTATGCATGTGTTTTCATTACCTAACAGGTTTCTGTTGGAAGGAATGTTTGAAGCAGAAAGAAACAATTACAAAGCTAACCCTGCATGCCGGGGTCTAGCTGTGCTCATCAGTGCAGTGTAGTGTCGACCTGTGCTACCTGGTAACCTCCAAGACTCCCTATATGCAAATCTTTACCTCTTCCAAATGTGATGTGAAAACAAAGCTTCTTTTGAACACAAAAGAGTCTGAAACAGACACACATGTGGTCACATGTATAGAGAGAAGCAACAGAAAGCTACCTTAACAGTGCGGTAGTGTTTGCGAGCCGCCTGGCACCTCATGTTGCTGGTGTTGCAGCAGCCGGTGCAGCGTTTCACCTCGACACAGGGAGGCCAGATGATGAAGTTGGCCGATGTGGGATCCACCTGGCTCCTGGGAATTTCATAAATTGCTGTCCGAACTTTGCACACTGCTGGCAAGGCCTCTTCTACCACTGCAGGTGAACAAACATGGCTGATCAAACCTGCATCAATGGTTCACTTTTTATACAAATACTAGTATTTCCTATTAACGTTATACAATATAGAATTTTTGGAAACTACAAAAGAATAGTTAGATAACCAGTGGACCTGAGGCTCAAGCTGACTACATGTGTGTGTGTGTTTCTCACCAGTGCTCCTCCTGTGTCTGGTATGTGTGTGTGCTCTCTTTAGGTCGGGGAAGCTGTGAGAGAAGTCCTTGTGGTAGCTGTGTTTGGTCTCCTCGATCACCTCGTTCTCTGAACAGAGACAAAATAACACAAGCATACTGAGACAATACACACTCTAAATGTTAACAACAAAGATCCTTGTGTCAAAAACACAGACACATACTAACGCACTATTGTGGATAACATGCATGCATAAAGTTCATTTTCTGAGAAGCACAAATGTTTCTTGTGATATTGGATATTTTTTATTTTGCTCATTTCCAGCTCCACATTTCCATTCTTGGACACTACTGGACTAACGTTGCATGATTCAGAATTAAAAATAATACCTATTTATTGTAATCTTGGGCCATGATGCATCACTTCAGTTGATCCTGGCTCTTTGGACATCAGAAGTTGTCCCTTAAGTTTCATGAAATCTTACGCACCACATTGTTGGCCGAGCCAAAATAGAAAATATTTGTAATTTATCCTCATGGGACCATGAATCTCCTTATCAAGATAACTTGACAGCTGACTGACCAAAATACAAAAGAAGGAAAAGTGGTGGCATGTTTACATGCTACAGCAAGCTGCTCATTACAGATATCTTTATCAAGTGTCTCCTGATCAGAGAAGCAGTTTAACCAGGTTATTCTGAGTTATGATGTCAGTGAGCTACTGAGTTCTCTGCATGTACACGAGCCCCAAATGAAACTGTTTCAGTGCCTATTCCAGGTACATTTGAATGTAATCCAGACACACAGCAAAGATTTTGTTAAGTTGGAAATGACATCACATTGCAAGCAAACTTGAACTTTCTAAGTAGCTTCTTTGTGAATTTGAGATTTATTTGCTGTTATGTGACTTTAATGCACTTTTTTTGCTTCTATTACTGGTTAGATGTACAGTGGAGAAAGCAATTATTTGATTCCCTGCTGAATTTTTATGTTTGCTCACTTACAAAGAAATTTGATAGTAGACAGAATATCAACTAAAAATCCAGAAAAATAATTACATTAAACTTATAAACTGAGGCGTTGATGAAAGATGTAACCAGAATCTGATTGGATGAACAGAAATGCTTTGTATGAGCCAAAGAACACCATCCCCACATCAAGCACAAAGGTGGAAATGTTATGTTTTGGGCAGCGCATTGAGAGGCCAAAAGACAGGAAAAATCTTGGACTACAACCTTCTTCCATCAGCCAGAACACTGAAGATGGGTCATCGATGGGTCTTCTGGCATGACAATGACCCAAAATATACCACAGAGGCAAGAAAGGAGTGGATAAAGAAGAAACACATTAATGTGTGGAATGGCCTAGCCCACAGGTGTCGAACTCCAGGTCTCAAGGGCCGGTGTCCTGCAGGTTTTAGATGTATCCTCGATCCAACACAGCTGATTTAAAAGGCTAAATGACCTCCTCAACATGTCTTGAAGTTCTCCAGAGGCCTGGCAAAGAGCTAATCATTTGATTCAGGTGTGTTGACCCAGGGTGATATCTAAACCTGCAGGACACCGGCTCTCGAGGCCTGGAGTTCAACACCCCTGGGCCCTAGCCAGTCTCCAGACCTCAGATCAATAGGAAATCTGTGGAGGAAGCTGAAACCTTGAGTTACCAGCACCAGTCACGAATGGTTTCATGAAGAGGAGGGACCCAGAGTTATTCCTACAACACAGAAACATCTTCTATCTACAATTAATCTTGGAAACTCTGCACTCATTGACAACTTGGCCATAAATTGTATTTGTCAGTTCAGTTTGGTTTGGTGGTAGTAATGTGTGGTAGTGAGCTTAGTTTAATCTTTTATTTATTTATTTTCTGTGGCAAGGTTTTGGCAGGTTGTGACAATACTACACTGAGATAGACAAACATCCAGTTTACGGGAAACTTCCTAAAGTGGATATATTTCTTTAGTTAATAACTGATGATTTATGGCATAAAGATTTATATTAGCCAATCTTGCCCTCAAGGCTTAGTTTTTAAATCTTAGCTTTGTGTGTGTGTGCCTTCTAGAGATGTATCCACAGTTTTCGCAGATTCTTCAAGCCATTCAGTACTTCCAAACCACAGGATACCCACAGACATGTTTAAAGCCAATAAATTCTGAGCAAGATTGTGTGTGCAGTGTGGATTTGTGTAGATTTGTGTGTCTGTGTGGGTGGAAAAAGGGAGCAAGGTTCAGGAATCAGAGTAAATGATGTCTAGGCAGGACTCTTTTAATTTGATCCTGAATACCAAGCCTGATGCTTCTTTTTGGTCACCGTGTAGATGTCTGCATGCGCTCCTCATTCTTGAGGCCATATGTGCATGCAAACAGTCACACACCACACACACACACACACACACGCCTGCCTACATACACAATGTGCTTCTAAAACACAACAAAGTCACCTTCGACATTTCCCTCTCTCTCTCTCTCTATCTTCTCATTCTCTCTCTCTCTCTTTCTGAGCCTGTGTGTCTCCCTCTCTCGCCCTGACATGCAGGATTTGAGCATGAATTATACATAGCAACACAGCAGCCTTCCAGCGAGCCCTCCTCTCAACCAATAATGGGCAGCATGACAACAGTATAATGAAGTGACCACTTGACCCCCACCGAGCCGGGAGCCGTCACCTCGACATTTGCATCTCAATGATGCCAGGATTAATGGTGGCACCACTCAGCACTGCAGACAGAAAAAATTTTTAAAAAGTTCACGCAGCAAAAAAAAAAAAGTTTATTTGCTGAATGTGGATGAGTGGATGCCATAAAGTGGTTTTATGCCACAGTTATTTCCTCCTGTCTCACCTCACTGATTCAATCTGCTCAGATTTATTACCTGCATAATAAACACAGACATCAGTGTTTATTGAAGCAACGCCGGTGCTTTTTTTTTTTCTTCAAAAGTTGGAGACTGTTTATGATTGAACTGCACACAAAGCCTTCTTTTTTGTATCTCAGCTACACAGTCAGCTGCTAGCAGAGCAGAAAGATACAATGATTTTTTAAGAAAAACAAAAGTTGCTTCTGGTCTTCTGAGAAACATCCGTGGTGAGATGAGAAGACAAAAATCTTGAACCAGATGCAACTAATTCCTCAATCAGAGTCTTCAAGCACTGACAGGAGGGAAGCAGCCGTGACTATCACATTAAGCTCCCTGCCTGATGTTTATCTGTTACTCAGTCAATTAAGGCTGCTTGGATCTTTGTAGACTAAAGTACATCATTTTTCAATGACATGCTAAATAAGACAAACATGTGCATTGCTCCTAATTCAGAAGTAGATTAAAGATAGATTAAAAAATCACAAGTGTGATCTGGTGCAAAGAAATATGAGTTTCTACAGTAACTTCCTGTGACTTTTCAAATTTCATTAAAAAAATTGTAGCCTATATTTAGCTTTAATGCTACAGAGGTTTGGCCCCAATTATGTCTGCTGCACTTGGTGCATGAAACCCTGACACTGATCACAAGCACAAACGTGATGTAGCCTTGTGCAGTGCTCTTAGAGTTAAAAATTACTTCCTGAAGAGATTAAAATTGCATACTTGCATTATGTTTCACATCACTTTAAAAAACACGTCTGATCTTAATCTGCACCATGTTTATTTATTTCTTCATATATTTTATTAAAAATCTGTCACAGGATCACATGACAGATTTTTCTATGAATAACCCCATTTTTCTGTAAGGATCATTAATCCAGCTTGTGCTGTGGGAGACTTGTATTATAATGAAGTGCTTTACCTACGGAGTCTATCTCTAGCAGCCGCTGGAGGTCGCTGATGCTGCGGATCTCGCTGCGAGAGAGCCGCTCCAGAAGCTCCTGAGGGAGAGGAGACTCCTGTGGAATGAAGGGGGTGGGTTTATTGGGGTGGGAACACATAGTTGGTGGCGTAAATCACGATCACGCAAACGTTACTTATCTGCAGCTGGCTTTCAAGCTGACTCGGTGGCGGGTTTTCAAAATGTATCAAACAGGTAACTGTGCGTAAGATTAATGCTCGTGTGTAATTACGCAAATAAACTAGATCATCTGTTGTATTCAGTACGTTAACCTTCAGGACTGAGTCTCTGTGAGTTCTATTACTTGTTTACAAGCTAAATAGCTGCGAGTAAAATATCACAACACGCAGCAGAAAAGATTAAACACAGAGTGTTTTGATTCAGCTCACTGAGCAACGGTGCGTAACACGCAGAGGTAGCCGGCAAGGATGTGGTAGACTGCGGCTCTCATTCCCTCTCAGATCCACTGCATAGGCACCAGAATAGGTCGAAAATCCACCGAAGGAGCCGGGCTGTCGCTCCTGCTCTCATCATCCCTCGGAGGACAGAATACCTCCTCAGTTTTAATGAAAAAGCTGCGAAATCCCGAATGAAATAAAAAGGATTGAAGCAAACTTCTGCTTGTTCTGCACGCGGTGTAAGTCACTGCCAAAGAGATTTAAGGGATTATTTTTTAAGTGACCGCGAAAAATGAGAGTCCAAGTTTTAAAAAGATAAAACAAAATAAAAAAGTACAAATCTTAGGATCCCACCGATATTCGTCCACAGGTCCGAAGTTTAAAGGAAATCACACAATCAGACTTGACATCAAGTGTATGTCCAGTTGCTTTTCATTTTGGTCTAGACAGAACAGGTGCCGATGGAAGCATTAGGCATTTTTTGCATTCACATATCCAGGAATATCCATCATTTTGTCCTCAGTATGAGCCTTTCAAAAATCACCCATTTGTGCCCTCTGCAGCGTTTGGGCGTGTTGGCACTTCAGGTTGGTAAATTGTCAAAACTCACAAACCGAGGGCAGGTCTGTCTGGAAAACGCAAAAGAACCAAAAGCCTTTATCTCCGCTCTGAGGAGTTTGATGGCAGCTCCCAGCGGTCCTGTGATCTCCGCGGTGAATGAAGCTGGGATGCTTTCAGTCACAGGATATAGCTGTGCGCGCCCGCGCGACTGCGACCGCGCTTTGCATAAAAGGCTACCGAGCACTGCAGCAGCAGCAGCAATAAACGACATCACGGAACAGCCTCAGTCTGAGCTGCTTAAGTTGATTACGCTTGTATTGGACACTTTGCTAAAAAGAACTCGGGAACTATTGTTACAATACCTGACCTTTAGTTTGAATTTGATGATTTATGATCATCACATATTCAGACCAATGCATTAGAGGTTCCCTCAAGATAAAGTTAAAGGTCCCGTTTGGACTATTTTACACTGACATGCCAGAATAATAAGGACAGAAAATGAGAAACTGATATATGTTAAAGTCATCCACATCACCAAGAACCGAGCAGCCCATTGGTCAATACCTGTTTTCATGGAGATTAATTCCTAGACTGCCTAAAGGAATACCAAGTGGACCCCCCCCCCCCCCCCCCCCCCCAGGTGACGGTGACATTGTGCCCTAAAGCTGTAAGATTTTTATTAGTGCTTTGTTCATGTAACAAAAGTTCACAGCAATAGTGACCTCAAAGAAACTTTATAGATACAAACCAGATGATCCAATCTTTCCCTCTATGAGCAAACACTCAGCAACAGTGGGCAGGAAGTAGGGAGAGCGGAGAAACAGGAAAAAAGCACAAATCACAGGAGACAGAAAACATTAAAGTTAATAACATGCAGTAGGTTGGGTGAGAGAGGTTCTCACCCCAGCAGCCTGAGCCTGTAGCAGCATAATGCTGGCAGAGGGTGACCTGATCCAAGTTTTTACAAATGCACAAATTAATTTTTATGTTAGCTACGTAATGCAAATGTCTGACACCCCGTTAACCTACCAGATCCCTAACACAAGGTGAATGTCATTTCAGACAGCACTGATGTTCAAAGAGCACAGAACTGAACTTTTAGCAAGAGCATGTTGTGTGTGCTGTCTGCTGCATGCTTTCTCCAGGCAGCACCTTTACTGTATTTCCAGTGGTCAGAAGGTTTCGGAAGTGGACTACTTCCTGCTGTGCGATACATGTAAAAAAGGACAAGAGAGGGTTCTTACCTCTCGAATCATAACCAGAATCTGGTTCCACAAGAGAGGAACCTGAAAGCTAAAGGCTCTACTGCCCTTCTACATTTTTAAAGAATAGTTGACACAACAGAAAGTCTGATCTACAAATAAAATGGAACCTACAAAAAGTTCAATGTGATTAACAATATAAAGCAAACTTTAAAGCCATCTGTCAAAGGCTGCCTTAAAGGTCAGTCTCCAAAATGTACACTATCCTGTGGTTGGTTTAGTTGGTTGTAATGTTAACACGTTTTCTGTGATTTAGCAAATGAACACTAAATGACATTCAGTGAAAAGGGAGGCAGTAAAAACACAGCAAGCATTTTTGTGGGTCAGTGACAGAAGTTTTTGAGGGAATGTAAAAAAAATACATTTTTCCCCCTAGAACTAAAGCTTCATGAAGCAGTGCTGGAATCTGGAAATCCAGCCTTAAGCATTCCAACATGCACATACACATTTATGATCCTTACACATAACATTTAAAGTTAGAAGGCTGAAAGAAAGTAACTATGTTCCTGTGAGGCAAAGAACAGAGAGCAAAACAGAGGAAAGACAGGACAGGACAAGGGAAGAAACAAGGAGAAGAGATTAAAAGTCTTCAAAAGAAAAGGGAAGAAAGCACAGATATGGTGGTGATATCAAGATGAAGCTTATTTGGATGAAAGAAGTCAAAGCAGGGTCAGTTGGCACCTGTGTGTGTGTGTGTGTATGTCTAGAAAATCCAGCCTGTGTTGGACCAAACTTCCCCCCAATTAAATCCTATTTAGGCTGACAGAGGCTAATACCCTAACACAAAAAAATCCACCTCGTTCCTTGCATCTTCTGTGAAAGGGTTTAGTGTAACCAACAGGCAGACAAATGAAGACAAAGAACCGGAATGATGGAGGGAAATGGGTCAGAACCGATTCTGATCTTGAATGGCCTCACTGGTACCATGACACTGTCACTTCCTCCTGGCATACAGCTTCTTCTCTGAACTCCCTGATGCATCCCACTTGCTCTTTTTTTCTTCCCTCCATCTTATCCAATGTTGTCTGTCTTTGTGCCAGCAGCACTCTGTGCCATCAAAGACTCTTTGAAAACGTACTGGTCACATTTTCTTGGAACATGAGAGCTTTCTTGAAGGCCCAGAACATTAAAAAGAAAAACAAAATGCCCAATGATATTAATCTGCATGTCTGATTTTACACATTTGATGACAAAGAGACGGCATCAAATAGGTTAGTCTATATCATTCACAACAACTCTCAGAGGGTTAGTTTTTCTCTGTACTCCCCCTGGTGTTTTGCCTTTATTGCACATCATTTAATCCAATAAAAAGAACTGCTGAAGGGGGAACTGGTTTGCTAAGCAAGCTTGATTGCTTAGTCGGAACAATATAAAGCAGACTCCTGCCATTTTACTGCCTACAAAACATTCCTTTTGTGTGGAGCAGTCAATACTCCAACAGATTAGGGTTAAATGAACTGGTGCACAAAGCTGACAAATTTCTGCACTTCAAAAGCACTGATCCAGAGAGCAAGATTAGAACACTTAAGACAGCTTGCTATTACTTAACATATAATTGTGGGATTTAGCTCATCCCTTCAATTGGATCCACTGACTCATATTAAATCACTTTATAGTCAGCAGTAAGTGGAATTTTTCTGCAGAGAAGCTCAAAGTTAAACTATGCAAAGTAGTCCAAAGCAGATGACTTCTATTTCAAGGCAGTCAACATCAGCAGTGCATTAAGTTCATAGAGGCTTGTTTGCAAAAACCAAAAAACTGAGCTGCCCTTCTTTTGGCTAATGTTAGACAATGTTCACGCATTCAAATTCAAGTCTATCTTGTTTTGTTCCAGGGTTGATCTGGTTAGCTGGCAATGTTAAAATTTCTTTATCAGCAGAGCTAACTGTCTTCAAACTATGTGCAGCTGGATGAACATATCTTGCTTTTTAATATTTTCCTTGGTAAAATCATATCATTCTTAAAATACAACATCTCCGGCTAATATGATGAGACGGATCTATGTATAGTATCAAACAGCATTTATTTCATTGACCAGTACATCAGTAAATTTTTGTCATGTACAAGTCCACTGTCATCATTATTCGGTGTACATTATATACACTGGTCTCCAAGTTGTTGTACAGACACATAACATACAGTAATGTTCAGGGCTGTCAGACAACGGTAAAAGAAGGTGAAAAGCTGGGTGGACATCAAAATATGACTGGTTGGCAAGGGATTGCTTGCTGTTGCTAGGTGAATTTAGAGAAATTTACTTGCCATTAATTGTAAGGAAGACGATGACTCATTTGAAAACACTCACCAATTACTCGCAAAGCAGTAGTGATACTGCGAAGAGTACAATGCAAAGGGGAAACAGTAGCTGCTTGCCTAAAAGTTGTTTCTTAGTTTGTTGATTTCAACAGTAAGGCACAGATTTTATTTCAGATGAGAACCTTCCCTGTTTCTGTTCTAATATTGCACTTTAGTAATAAGGGTCAGTACTACTCTGTAGAGAGTTAGCGTTTGTGTTTGCACACAAAGAGGTTTTTGGTGAAGCACCATTTTTGAAACCACTTACACCCAACAACTGCCAACAACCTCTAAGACCTATTCACCAGCCAGTAGGGTAATACAGATTTTCCCTAGCACCAAAGAATTGCTGACTGATTGTAACCCAATTTCATGGCAAAGCATGTAATAGACATACCAGTCCACTGTGTCCAGTTCACACTTTGCCTTTTCAAAGCATGACATGGACACGTATGCAGAAGTTGCAGTACCAGCAGGGGAAGCCGTGATACTGGATTGGCTAACTGGTCTCAAGGTCTGTGTGTGATGATCCTTAATTTCTGCATCTTAAAGTCTTTCCTCCATAAAGACAACATTTGACAACC